GAATTGAAGGGCGGTAATTCTGAAGGACAGCGCTGTGTGAAGTTACTCGAGTTAGGAGTTTATTCCCAGATGAAAACATTACTGCTTTTTATTACTATAAAAATTGTTATTACTCATGTTCTGCTACTGCTTCATTTTTTTTAAAAAAATCTTTTAAACTGTGACTTTTAAAAAAAGATTAATTGTCTGTTTTCTTGGGATGGGACGGAATTCTGAAATGATGATTTAAATAATTTTGGTGACACGTGGTACTCAAGCATTCTTGAGAAAAGATGGTTAGAGACAACGTTTCTCACTTGGCTAAGCATATCTTCTGGAATGATTTAGTTGTTCTTGCTCTCTTGTGATTACATAATGTGAATTTTACACTGCTTTGGGCATTTTGTTGGTTAAAAAACCGCACACTATGTTTTTTGTTTTGGTTTTTTTTTTTAATAAACAAGGCTTAGCTCTGTGTGGAGTATTAGCCACTGCAAGATAGAGTAAGATTAAAGGCTTGCCACTCTGCAGCATAGGCTGCCTTTATACAAAAGGGCATTTTTACAAAATAGAAGTGCATCAGATAAAGTGCCTTTAACAATTGTTTTCCTCAGTTGTGTTTTCCAACCTGAAATTTTGCTAACTCTATGCCTCTGATACCCTGGTTCCTTGCCATCGGTTTTAAACCTTGTAAACAGGAGAGTTATATTAGCTAATAAAAACCCCACTGACTTCCTAAGAGGTGTCTCTCAGCTCTGAGAGAGGCGAGATCCTGGCTGAGCGCTGCTTCCCCACTCTCTTTAAGACAGATGCTGGTGTTTAGATGAGTCTAATCAGAGAACTTGTACAACCCACAGATTGGTGAATTGGACTCTCTGCAATATGTCAGAAAGGGGGGATGGGTGGAGAAAATGGTTGGTGGAGGCAATGACATCAAGATAAGCTTAGTAATAATAAAAATTGACTTTTGTCTCCAAGGAAATGCAAAGTGGAAATCCATTTTCAGTGCACTGGAGAAATCCAAGCGAGGATGAATGCATTACTAGACGTTTTAGGGTAATCATCGTGCAAGTTTTGAAGTTAGCTGCATGTTAATGTTCTCAGAGTAGGAGATATCACCACATGGTAATTGGGATCATAGCTGAGGAGAGTTTCATATACTGCATCAGACTGTTGGTCTGTCAGATTTACTGTCCTGATTTCAGCAATGGCCATTGTCTAGAGGAACAAGAGGGAAGTTCCTGGCCTCCACAGTAAAATATGCATGAGGCTGGGTGCTGCTGTACATGAACAGAAAAACTTTCCTTTCTGGGCCACAACACAGATATTGCACAAATTTTAGTTACCAGGGTGTTACTGCAGAGTGCAGGCTGTATTTTTGCTTTGCGTTCCGTAACACTGGCTATCCTTGGCAATCCTTGTTGTGAAACTACTCACTCAGTGAAGTCATGGTGTACTTAAAGGCTGAGTAAATCCAGGTGTCCTGGTGTAGGTGTAGTGGCTGAAACGGGTGTTGTCCAGTTATTAGTAGCTAAACTCTTTTAAGAAATACTTATCTTTGAGCATACCTCCAGTATATTATTTAAAAATACAGAATATAGCTCTTGTATCCACCAGGAAGAGAGCTGTGGAGATCCAAGTGCTGGTGTCCTTGCTACGCTCATGACCTTGCAATTTGTAGACCTTTTGTTGTCTCTTTTCCTTTTTCTTCTGAAGAAGGTGCACAACACTAAACTTATCTGTTGAAGGCTAGAGCAGGGAAGGCCTGCCTCTCCCATGAAGGGAGTCTGAGCCAGGGTCTGTCTTGCAGAAGTCATCTGCCCTGGGAGGGCGATCCTTGGTGTGTGGTGTTGCAGGACTCATGCCCATGCTTTAGAAAAGACTGATTGTGTAGAAGTCCTTTTTATTTCTTCATACTGCATTTTTTTTTTTTGCATACTGCAGTTTTAAGAAATTATGGCCAAAAAAAAAGGTGTTCTCAAAGTGTCCCATCATACAGTATGCAGTTTCAATGTTTACTGCTGCTTAATGTAGTTCAGTCTGCCTGGAGTTTTGATCTGGAGAAATTGTGGAAATAGGGAAGAATTAATACATGTTTGGTTGAAGAAAGGAACATAATGTAGGGTAGGCATGGAGTCCTGTGGATGGCTTGGGTACACAATAAAACCCAAGGGTCAGATGCTGTCCGGTTCTTCCTTAGATTTTATCAAGGTGCTCACTGAGCAGCAGCGTTAATGAAACATGAATTCCTATGGTTTTGTGCCCACAGTTAGATTCAATGGTCTCTTAGAAGATGCAAACATTAATTCAACTTTTTTCTTCAGTTGGAATAGGGCACACACATACATATTCATGTGCTGAGCATGGATGAATAAGCCTTATTTGCTTAGAAGACAAGGGTAAAAAAGAAGTCAGTTAAGTAAAGCAAAATTCAAGAGGACAGAAAAGAATCTGGTCGAGTTTCTAGTACATATATATCTCATCCAACCTTACAAATACTGGTATCTACCAAGATAGTTCTGGTGTCTATTTTAAATTTTATTTTCTCTTTAACTATCAATAGTTTGGTTTTAGTTTTTGTTCCCTCCCAAGTTTCCGGTGGATTTGGTCAGTTTAGTGAATGCCTTATTAACTATTTTGAGACCCTCAGGTGTAAAAAAGTATAAAATCCATAGAAGACAACCATTAAAGCATGTCAGCTGCTGATTGCAACATGTGTCTTCTGCTGTGTACTCTGCATCCTGAAACAGTTATGTAGCTGGAATACAGGATCAAGATTATATCTGTTGGACAGGGAAGCTTTGAAGCAGGATTATCTGATTTTGGTCTCTGGTCCTCCGGGGAGCACACAGATATGCAGAACATCCACGAGTGAGCTTGGTGTTGCAGTCTCTCATCACCCAGGTTGTGCCCCAAACTTTGGCAAAAGATAATCCTATAAAGAAATCTCCTTCCAAATCTAACCAGAGGACTCGGTATACTGGGTGTTTCCCTGTGGGATGGGGAATTAAGAGTTATTTTTGCTCCCATCTTCTCCAGCTGCTGGGGTGTGGCAGTGGTAGGGAGTCCAGCAGGTTTAGGGGGTTGGTGGTGTCTCCCTTCTCCAAGTTGGAGAAGATGCAAGGTGTTGCGAGGACATCACTACAGCGGGATGAGCTCCAGCAAACCCTTTCCAGCGAGTTAAGATGTCCCCTGTTTTAATATCTGCTCTGTGCTGAGGAAAGTTGGCTGCTGGTGCAGAAAGGGTTGTGGGAAATCAGGGAGGTTTTACGTAATGCTCAGGCTTTCCTCCATATCTCCTGCTACTTGTAGCAAGGGCATCTCCTTTTGGGTAAGAAAGCAAATATTTAAAAGTTGGCATTCAGGCTTAAGAATGTTTGTGATGGATTCAAATAAGTTATTTGAGCTTCAGTGTTAGATTTCACAAAATCTAAACTTCTATTTCTCACGTTGGTTGGCTTTTAAATATTTTTTAATCTGCTTTTCTATAGAAAATCCAATAATCTCCAGATTATATTTTTTTTACGATTTCATGCTTATAATGAAAAAAGAAAGAAAGACTATTTTTTTCTGTGCGCTTTCCATGTTCAAGAGAATATTTTCATAATGTACAATCCAGTTAGACTCACAAATATTCTGGGAGGGCATGTGTGAATAACACAAACCTAGTGTCACTTCTATGTGAAAATGAATGTGTGCACCTGAGTATATGTCTGTAAGTAATTGACTTAACCACCCTTTGGCTATTGTGATGAAAATTTGTGAAAATCTCTTTTTCTTTTACCCCAAAAGAACTGCAAAAAGGAATGTTTCCTGTAATTTCTGTACAGCAATGATTGTTTATATTTATATTTTAACAGCTTTTTAGCATCAATGAATGAGACTGGTTAGTTCCATAGCTGCAGTCAAAATGAAATGGAAAAATAACAGTAAAACTAGAAAAACGCCTTTAAAGATCATCCTAGGCTACAATCTGAGAACCTCTACTAAGTGACACAAAATTTGGGATGTTTACATTGTTGATGAACATAAAAATCCCACAACATTGTATTTAAGTGAAACGGGTATTTCCTTCTTTGGAAACGTCTTGCTAAAAGCAAGGATGGAACAATCTTTCCAAACTAATGAATAAAACTGTTTTAGGACTAACTCATTATATGTCAGCACTGATCCGTGTGTATAAACTGTAGGCATTGACTGAAGAAACAGATGACTGAAGTGATGTTTAAACCTGAGTTCAGCCTCCTGGAAATACTCACTGCCCATATTTTGTATCTACAGCAATGGATACGTGTTACTAGGATGAGCCAAACCCGCTACCTATCTGCGTTTTGAATAGACTGCCACTGAAATTCAATGCCTGGTTTGGGTTATTTCAATGTATTAGCTCTGTTGGCACTCATCAGTTGTCCCATCATGGTGATTTTCCATATAGATCACCTAATAGCTGCCCTCCCAGGCAGGATGTGGCTCGTGATATATCAGAAGATGGGGTGGGCACATCTTGCCCCTTGCCAGTGGCTCCTGGCGCTCTCTGTCCCTCATCCCAGGGATGCTGGCTTTGTACTGCCCAACAGACTGGGACCTGCCAGGAGGAAATATTTACTTGCTTTAAGCAAAAGAGTCATTATCACATCATCAGTGCTGGGTGCACATATGGTTCAGCATTTAAAACTCAGTTTGCAAGCTGATTTACAGTTGTTTTCAAGATACTTATAAAATGAAAATTAAACGTGCTACCTTGCCCAGACGTTGTGAATAAATGAATCCTTTCCATATTGTCAAAGCATTGGTGCTTATATCAGTATTTTGGGATGCAAGAAGCTGTTTACACTGCTAGGAGTTCTCCTGGTTCATCACATTTTCTTTTCTGATGCTTGTTTTGATTTCGGTTTCCTCTGAAATGTCTCCATAGAAATTACCATCATGAATAACTCTGCATCTGCTATGTAACACACAGAGGACGTAAATGTACTTTGCCACTGACAACAGCCCTGTCTCTCTCCTCATTGTCTTTTCAGAATCCAGTTTTCTGTTGGGAAATGCGCAGATTGTGGACTGGCCCGTAGTTTATAGTAATGACGGTTTTTGTAAACTTTCCGGATATCATCGAGCTGACGTCATGCAGAAGAGTAGCACTTGCAGGTATGTCGGCTGTCTGTTTGTTGCCACTCGATGCACTCTTAAGATTACAATGTGCTGGGTAGAAAAGGTAGGTTTTGGAAAAAAGATCGAGGTAAGAAAAAAACCATTGTTTTGCAGAAATTAAAATACAGGCTTTAAATGAATGAAACCAGCGACTTCTCTAGGATGTGGTAAGACACTTCATAGTGCACATTCAGTTAAACACATTGATGACCAACTTCCAGGAAAATCAGAGGTTAGTTCTACCAAGTTTAACAAACTGCTCGAACACTTAATGTTAAGTCCTTTGCTTCATCTAGGATCCTATAAGACTTCATTATAAATAACAGAAAGCTAAATTCAAGTTGCCTATATTTTTTAAAATTTTGTTTAGAAGATCTGCAAATTTAATGTATTTCACCCAAATCTGTTTTGAAACTAAGCCATATCTGCCCAGTCACTCTCTAGTAACTGTATAATAAATATTGCAGGAATAAAGACTTTGATGAAAAAGCTTTTAAAAAGTTTTAACAGCGAGTGAGGGTAAACTGCAGGTACTCCCAAAAGAGGGGGTAAATATTATGAGCATTTAGACCTTATTCTTCTCTCATTGGAATTTTATCCTGGCTAATATCAGTACGAATATTCTCAAAGAAAGTGAGGTTTTAGGTAATATATTTTAAAGGCCTTTTACTACATTTCTGTTAACTCTCCTGTTACCATGCCAGGAGGTGGTGGGTTGTTCTTGCAGCTCCTCTTGGTCCCTGTTATTAAACACAGGCACAGAGAGCACAGTGCTGTGCAAACTGCATCTTTGTTCCCAAGCGAGAAATTAAGCTGATGATATATTTACTCTGAGCATTGCAGCTTTGTGGCTTTTTCCTTTTGTTGGTGGTCTTTCAGGAGCGGGCAGCAGTGATTTATGGCAAGACACGCATCTGCGCCTTGTCTGCTGCATCCTTTAAAAGGAGATACTTTGGGGAAAGATTAAATCCCTAATGCGTGTGTGGATGAGCAAAAAGTAAACCAGTGACAGAAGCAACAAGGAATGACTGAGATACAAGTTTGTCTAGGTTTTCCCTTTATGCGTTCAGGGAGCGACCAACTCCAGGGCACAGGGAGGAGGGGGCTGTGTAGCTACAGCAATGATTTTTCGCAGATGGGTGCTGCCAGGCACTGATCGTTGGCTGATGCTCCAGCTGGCAGGAGCAGGGTGGGTGGCGAGGCTGTCCTCAGATGTCAGTCATCGCTTACTCCACACAGCAACGTGTGCTGATGTGTGGTCGCTGCTCTGATGTGCCAGGAAGGGGAGGAAGCCTTGGGGGTCCTGGGTTGTTCTTCTTGGGTCTTCTTGTGGGCAATGGCAAAGAGATAGGGACATGCTGCTGAAATGAAACAGTCATTCACACAGTAGCAATAGCTCATAGACTCAGCGAAGCTGAAACAAACAGCCTTATCACAGCTGTCCTGCATATACACGCATGCTTTCCCCTTTGCTTTCCGCTGTCCAGTATACTGAACTGTATATGTTTGCTGTGAGCCAGCACTTTTGTAGTCAGTGTATGTTAAAATAATTACAAATATAGGATGGGATTGTAGGAGAATGTTGAGAAAGCGATGATGGTTTATCAATTCCTCTCTGATAATGTTTCCCCTGTGCCTCAAATACTGAGGAAGCCAAAAGGCTTCTTCCATCTGAGTGCTTTTTGTGAATGTAAATAACCTCTCGTTACCATTTCTAAGGCTCCTGTTTTGACCGTGTACAAGTAGATCATACAGGCAAATCATACAGATGCAAATTCAAGGAGGAATTATTGTGGGAAATGGAATTGGTAGCAGAGATATCCTATTTTCTTTAAAATCATCATTCTATATATCCGTCTCTGTATTTTGGAGAGGCCTCTCTACCCTCAAAGCATGGCTAGCGCTTCTTTTGTGTCTGGGTCTTAGCTGGTGGAGTTATATATGGAATGTGATGTTTCCTGCTTCTTAGGAGACATCCTGGTCTTTGCAGATTAAAGGAGAGCTGGCGGGGTTTTCAGCGCAGTCTGGCGTGCAGTGTGTAGCCTTCCAGAGCAATGTCTTTGGAGCTGCTCTCCCATGAAGAGCTGTGCAGCTGTGTGAAATGCAAAATAGTCTTGAAGGCCTGCTTAGGCTTACTTAGTAGAATGTCATTGGAGGTTTTTTTAATATCTGAGGCTATTATTTATATTATTTCCTGAGTCAGACGCTCAGTTCATACTTGCTGCGTTATGCCCAGATTATGTTACATTACACATAGAAATTGCTTGATATATAAATGTTTGCTTTACTGTTCTAAGGCAAGTGCTCTGGGATGAAAGTGCTGTGGTACCACAGCTTTACTGCAGGTTTTGGAAGAGTCTGTTTTAACAGCTTTTTAGTGCCAAAAACCCAACCCCAAAAAAATGCACAGATAAAAACAGTGTAGATCTCACCCCTGATTCAAGTTGTTGTTGTTACTGATCATGAGTGTGATAAAAGACAATTTATAAATTTTGCAATATTTAGTCAATTTGCCCCTGCCTGTAAGGTGCCTTCAAATCAGCTTTTGCCCATGCTTTGCTCCTCGGTAGCCCAGCAAGTATTCACTATATCCTCTTTCTGTCTGTCCCACTTCATACCCTACCTTTGGTCTGATCATAGATCATCAGCATATTCAGTCCCAGGTTGGCTGATTCGGATCAGGGGGAGGGGTGGATGAACTGAATGCACTGGAGGTGCAAGTTATTTTTGTTCCAGCTCAGGCAATGAGTTAGTCCTGTGGCAAACTGGTAATCCCTTTGATTTTGCAGTTCTCTCATCTTTTTAATCAGCAACAACATGCCCATTGGCAGGAAAATCACTTGGAAATACCTCAGTACAAGTGCCAGTCTCCCAAGTTTCACAGCACTATATAAAAGGCGCAGTGTAGGTGGGGCTCAGGCTATGTGAATATTGCATGATGGGAATGAATGGGTCTTCCTTTTTGGTACACATGGCATCTAAAGTTGCATGTGTAGCTGGGCCTGATATACAGAATAATTGGTATCAGTGAATGCTAAAATACACAGTATTTTTAGGTGGAAGAACTTGGATTCTGACAAAACATTTCTGTGCCAAATATAAATGAGCTGACAGTCCAGGAGGAACGGGGCATCTGAAATTGTGACACTTCTAATCTTCAATTAACCATGCAAGAACCCTGCCTGGAGGTGCACTGATAGATCAGCTTGCACGTGGGAAGACCACTTGTTTCATGCCCAGTTGCCCACAGTCACAATGTATGTCTTCGTGAATACGTTGAAAGAATAAACAGTTATAAAACATTAAAGTCCAGTTTAATGTTGCAAGTAATATCATAGAGTCATAGAATGAGTTGGGGTGGAAGGGACCTTTAAAAGTCATCTAGTCCAACCACTCGGTATCAGTCTTTTCTAAATATTGTTGCTTGTCAGCTAAGCTCTGTGTTCTCGTCAAGCTCTGTGGAAGAGCAGGCCCCCTTTTGACTGCCTGGTTCATAGACCTACCCTGGCGTTTGCTCCAGGCTTTGCTTTCCCCTTCCTTGCACCCAAGAGCCCTGCACCGAGCTGGGAATAACTGGTTGCTGGTTTGGTTTTCAAAGAAGAAACCTGCTCTCAGGCCCTGTTTGCATGTTGCCTTCCAGCAAGGGAGCTGCATCTCCTTGCTGACGTGGTTGTTTACAGGTAGCATTTCCACCAAAGCACTTAAAACAGGGCTCCAGTCAGAATCTCCATTGGTTTGATTTACTGCCGTTACAAGTGGGATTTAAAACAGTCTGCGAGTGAAATCCTGGCTTCAGTGAAGCTTATGGTAAAATTCCCACCATGTGGGATTTTGCATGGTGGGTACAGCGTGCTGGACTTGATAAAGGTGAGATTTGATACTGGGATGTCACCTCTGTGACCTGTTTTTTTCTTTTTTTTTGTGGGCGAGAAGGCCTCCTTGTACTGCCAAAGCTGTGCAAAGAAACCTGGCTGAGCATGTCGGTGGGACCCAGGGAACCGCATGTTTTTTCCTTAGCAATGGTGCTTGCTCTTTAACTTGCAAAATTTTGAAGCTATTGAGGTGCATCTGTATTTACTGTTCTTCCTGCGTAGATGTTTGTCTGTTGTAAGTGATGCCTTTTCATCCAGTGCTGTTGGATGAAGAGAGCTGTAAATTGGATGCAGGATCATGTGCCTTCTGGGCATCACCTGTCCTCTATTCCAGACAATTTCTGACTAACAGCTGTTAGATCCTGCCCTGGCACTAGTGCTGCTGCTCTGAATCCTGACAAAGGATGGAAGAGCATGATGCAAAACTTCGGATGGGGCTTTTCTGTGCCGAGGGATGCTTCCAAAGCGAAGTGGAAGCCCAGGCATCTTAAATAACAAGAGATGGGGAGATTATCTAAGTCTGTGCCTTTCTCAGAGTGTTTCAGTTAAGTCTTGTTTCTCTTTGATAAATCTATTTTCTAGGTGGTAAGATTCCCGGCAGCAGGGTGGTTTTGATATTTATGCCTTGTACAGTGTGCGCTGAAGGCACTCGACAAGCACTAAATAACAAAATGCGTGAGGCAGAAAAAGACAGAGTGATTGACTGAAGAAGTAGGAGTCCCTCCATGCGTACAAAATAGGACAGACTAAATTAAATTAAACCTGTGATAACCAAAGTTCTTATGTAACTTGTAAAGTGAGTGGCTTTGAGGTTTCTTTGGTGCTATTAAAAATCACCTTTTGAAAAATGTTTTATTATTCTGCAAGCCTTTAAAATGTCTCTTTATATGTGAAAATAATGTAAGATTTGAGTATTACAGGTTCATTGTAATTATAAGCTGCCTTTAATTTAAAACATGAAGTTGATTGACTGTATGCAGCAGCACTAACTGTTATTGTCCACCACTCAGAACACAAAGTATGATTTGTCATTTTAACGACACTTTAACAAATTCTTGTTATTTTTCCCCTCAGGACTAAGAGAAACATTGTTTTAAATCTCAAGAAAACAAACAAAAAAGAGAATTCAGTTGCAAAACAGGCTGTGTGAAAACTACCAGCTCTTATTTTGTCTTGCAGAGAGGAGAGCAATCTGCTTTTACATCAGTGCATTAAAAAGGCACAGATTAAAAAAATAAAAAACCTAAACTCTCTTTGTTGTTAGCTCATGTATAAATGAGTAAAAGGTTACTGGGTGGACTCAAGTCATTTCAAAATGAGCAGTAGGCTGTGTTTTGCATTTCCTAAAGATGTCCGTGTATGTTAATGATAAGCAGTACTTTAATGAAGCCTCGTGCCCTGATAAAAACTATCAGTTGCTTTAGTGGCATCTCTGTGACAGTGGTGTCCCAAAGGTGAGAGTTATGGCCCAGATTTCCCTGTGTTACTGGTGAAGAAGCGCCTGTGGTGACCTACAGAACATGTAGTCATTCTGATGCCCCCCATCTGCCTCCATCACCCATACTGGGCAGCCCCTTATTCTGGGAGCAGCCCCATGACCTCCCTTGGTTGGCTGCATAAAGAAAAGATTCACGATCTGGCCTCCATCGAGTACTTTAATGCTTGCCAAGTCACTAACCACTATGCTGTTTTATTGTTTCTTTCAGAACAGTAGACATAAAATAAATGTTTATTGAACCTTTGGAGGTCTGTTGATCAATAGAAGAGAAGCTATACTGAAACCACAGAGGCACGGAGAGATTTTCTTTTCCCTTTCATATTCTCAGGGTTGCCTGTTGTAGGTTTCAGCTGGAGCTCAAGCTGTGAACAAAGAAAATGGGGAAAAAAAAAAGGTCTGATCAATTAAAAGTATATTCAGCCAAGGTCTCAAAGCTTTTATCCCACAGAGTGGTCTTCGCTTATTCTTAATCTAGGGAAGAATGACAATAAAAGCCTGGCTGTTTCCTTAGAAAGGCTTTCAAAAGTGAGATTGGCAGGTTGGGTTTGCTTACACCAGCTGAAAGTCCGACCTGGAAAAAATGCAAAGATGAAATAGTCAAGTGATGAGAAGTAGCAGAGTTAAAATTACATTTTTATTTCCTTGGCATGAGTCCCCAAAAGCATTTTAATGCAGAAATATTAAAGAACTGCAGTATACAAGAAAAAATGAGGGTGAATTTGGTTATGTTTGGTAGTAGGGCAGACATACACTGAGACAGCTCTTACGCTTGCTTTCTGTGCTGAATTTTCAGAGCGTTACAATCATCACTTCTTAGTGGTTAAATCCTACTTCTATTTGTAATCGATATTTAGTAGACGGTTCCGACTATCTTATTGTCCTAGGTGCATCTTGACAAGATTAGTTGTAGCCATTGATTCAGCCAACAGCCTTTACCTGTAGTAGCTTCCATTCCTCCTCCAGAAGCCTTTTCAATAGGATTCAACAAAATTTTGTATTTTTTGAGGTTTTCTTCAGTTTTCTCCGTTTTTATAGCAATATTCTCGTGACATGCAGCTGTGGCAGTAATGGTTTTATAGGCTATCAGTTCTTTTTCTAACCATATATATTTTTAAAGATATGCTCAAAAAAGCACTTACTGAACCATTGCAGTGGGTTTATTTGCTGTCATTAACAGTAAAAACGTTGGTCATCCTTACTCACTATTGTAGATTTCTTTGTGACACTCTAAATATTTAAAGGAAGTGTAAATCATAATTAAATTTCGGTAAATGACAGTTAACCGCATCTCTAATGTTTGTGTTGTTTAAAGTGACTGTAGCAAAGTTGTAGCTTGTCTAGAAAAAATAGAAACCTTTTTTCTTTTTCAGTTTTATGTATGGTGAACTGACAGACAAGAAGACCATTGAAAAAGTCAGACAGACTTTTGACAACTATGAATCAAATTGTTTTGAAATTCTCCTCTACAAGAAAAACCGTATGTATATATTTGTGTATGGCTTTGGGAGTGATAAAGCATATTTAAAGTATATATTAAAGACTAAAATAAATTTTTGTTTTGTCATGTGGGTAAATTTCAGGCAAGATTTGGAGAAGAAATGGGTATTTTGACTGCCACAGCTCAAGAAGGAAGCTTTTTTTTCAAGACAAGTGTTCAGATTGCTGAGAATAGTAGTTCCTGCTGTCTCTAGTCTGACTCCTTCTTTCCAAAATATGTTTAGTTTTGAGGATTGTTTCCCTGAAGGGAAACTGACTGAGTTAAGTGAAAAGAGATCCTGAATGGGGATCCCCCACATCCCTCGGGAAACACCCCCATGTCTCCACAAGTGAGAACCCAGACCCTGATTGCCGTGAGTGGGTACTCCCAGAAGTGTTGAGATGCCTCTGTTGTGTGTAAACTGACACGTATGAGCTCTGGTGAGAGTACTAAATTTGTCACATCACCCGAGGCTTAATTAGAAAACCAAGGAAATTTGTAACTTAATGGAATTTAGGACGTAGGTCTCTTCCTCTTGATGGCATTGGGCTTACAGGAGTTTTCCAGAGCCAGAGGTGATTTTCTTCATTTTATCTTAACCACATGCCTCTTCAGTCACGTATTCTGTTCTGCCATCTCTTTAGGTAGGACTACTTCTGACTTATCAGAATTATGGCACATACTAAGCAAAACCTGCACTGTGTGGTCTCGCGCTGAGCTTGTGTAGTGTGGACTTGACTTCT